AAAATGAATTTAAAATTTTGTATGTCTTGCCTATTGTTCGATGTGAGCACTGTTAAATTTTTCTAGACTTAGTTTGCTATACCCTAAGATTATGAAAATACTTACTAACCAGCATTTTCTCGCTTCTGTAATCTTGCTTGCTTAACACATTCCTCCCTTTCCCCCTTCCCCCTTCCCCTTTTTTCTCCCGCCACAAGTAACGGACAAAGCCTTCCTGCCAAAGGACAGACAAAGGACGCCCAATCAGAGAACAACAAATGTCCTTACTTTAAAATCAACTAATCAGGCCCCCTATAATCTGAAACCTCCCCTATGCTATTTGTCTCTGTCTATAAAAACGCTGTACCAACCCTGATTGGGGCCTCTTATCGTCACTGGCAACGAGTGCGCGGAGGTCCAGGTTCGAACCTGCAATAAACGACCCTTGCCGCTTGGCTTTGACTTACGACTCTGGTGGTCTCTTGTGGGGGGTTTCACGACCTCGGGTGTTACACCCCTAATGCCTGGATTTTAAAATGTGGCAAACAGAAGGGTCATTGCTAAGAACCAAACTGATGTTTTGAGTGAGCAAAAGGAAGAAACATACAACAGAAGTTAAAACCATTTTTAAAAATGACAACAATAAACAAAAAGGCGAAAGACTGAAAGGACAGATCCAGGAGGCCTCTGCTGCAAATATTATTATATTCAGAAGGAGAGAAGGTAGCATAGAGAGTTCCATAGAGAAAGGCCATAATAACAAAAGGTGAAATAAAAGAAATGACCTGAAGTTAAAGAAAAATTCCAAATGAAACTGAACATAGCTTCAAAAAGTTACCGAAATAGTCTAAAGATAACGAGAGAATCTTATAAACTTCCAGGAAGCACACACACGTGCACACACAAACACACACACACTCACAAAACCCAGATCACATATGGCAGTAATTGAACCAGACCAGTATCTGACTTATAAATTGTACTCTCAACCAAGACAATAGAATACCTGTGGGCAATTGAGAAAATCAAAGTTCCAAGAATTCTACACCCAGACAAGATACCATTTAATTAAGACAAAAGGTCAAAAGAATGACCTTGTGGGATAAGTAAGGTTCAGGGTGTTACCATCCTGGGAACCCATCTGAGAAAATCCATAGCAACTATTCTAGCCAGATAAAAGTAAGTCAGAGCACGGATCTCATCATTTAGGAAGACAAAAGAATGGAGGAACTGGTGATAGTTAAATATAAGTGGATGATACTGACGATGTGACTGAAAATTATATGCCTTACATCTTCTTTAAATAGGAAAGGAAATTGCAAGGAAATCCTTAAGAAGCACTTGAAGCAAAAATTCCAAACTCCCTCAGCAGTGAAGTGTGTGTGAGCGTGTGTGTACATGTGCGTGTGGGGATGGGACAGGAAGTACACTACGAGATGGGGAAATAAAATATCTCCCATCAGTAAGTGGGGAAGGGAAGAGTTGTGAAGGAGAAGGCACTGGAAGCATAGGAATTGTGTAATTTTTTATTTTAATAGAGAACCCCAAATTCAGCAATGGCCATGTATGACTTTTCAAAAACTGCTTTTAATTCAAAAAATAGTGTAATTTAAAAATCAGGGGCACCTGGGTGGCCCCGTCAGTTAAGCATCTGACTCTTGATTCCAGCTCAGGTCATGATCTCACGGTTTGTGAGATCGAGGCCTCTGTCAGGTTCCGCACCGACAGCATAGACCCTACTTGGGATTCTCTCTCTCCCTCTCTCTCTCTCTTTGCCTCTCCCCCACTCGTGCTCTCTCTCTCTCTCTCTCTCTCAAAGTAAATAAATAAACATTAAAAATAATAAAAATTAATGGCTTAAGAAAAAAATAAAGAAAAAATTTAAAAGTAAATCTAAAAAAAACAATAAAGAATAACAAAAACTAATATGGCAATCATAAAAGCAAGTATGTCAAGCATCATAATTACTAAATTCTCCCGGCAAAAGATAAAGACTCTCATTAGTTACAATATAAAACCCAGGCATAAGGTATTTCTGGAAGCATATTGAAACAATGCTACAAGGAAAGATTGGAAATTAAGGGAAGGCAAAGATATGCCAAGAAAAGGCAGAGAAAAGCAAGCCCAACATGGATGGCAACACTAATATCAGCTTCAAGGTAATTCATGGCCAAAATTATTAATGAGGTCAAAGAGGAAGAGCATGTAATGAGCAGGAAACTAATCACTGAAAAAGCTCTATGAGTCATGAACATTGACAAACAACATAGCAGCTATATATTATATATTTACATATATAAATATAAATATATGAAATCCAAGGAGACATTAATGAAAACATTTTTACTGTGGGCTGTTTTTAATATTATTCTTTCAGAATTTGACAGTTCAAGTATACAAGCAAAGATAGACACGATGTGAGAAACACAATAGCCTACACGTTTTTTTCTCCTCTTATATTCATGTAATTTACAAATTAATCATATGCACAACTAAAGAAAACTTTGGTGTATTTTTCAAAGCAAATATATATATTTTTAACTTTCAAACAGGCAATCAACAATTACACATTTTTTTTAAATCCTCTAATTATTGAAAAATTAAGAAACCTCTTTGGCATAATGTCTGGGTCTAAGAGGATATCAAAACTGAAACCACAAATTAAGTATCCAGAAGATAATAGAACAAAACATTACAGCAAAATCTATTAGATACACTTAAAGCTATGGTGGTGGGAAGGATTTATGACCTTAAATGATTTATTGTTTAAAAACAAAATAAAACAAAATTACACAGCGTCACGAATAAATTATTTAGAACAATTTGGATCTTATTATGTTTTCATTATTGAAAAAATGACTCAGTAGGCCCTTTGACCCGGTGCTTTCATTGATTTTCAATTTTCTTCATTTGTACCGTTTCCGTTATTTTCCTGTCCCATGTCAACGCCACAGTGAGAGCGAATAAAGCGAGCAAGAATTTGTCTGTCTGAAAATTATGAAGAAAAACAGGATGAAATCTTCCATTTAACTACTTAAGCACTAAATAGAGAAATTCTAGGAAGGAGGAAAAATATCTGAGAATAGCGCTCTATATACAAATTTGATGGGACCAAAATATCAAAGGGCATATGTCTAATGTACAATTGTATAAGTATGGATTAAAAAGAGTACACTTCATATTGAAAGGATCATTAAGTCTTCCTGGAAAGAGCATGGAGTTTGGAATGAAACTGACTTAAGTTTCCGTTCCGCGCTCACGATCTTTGGCAAGTCACATGGCCTCTCCATCTCTTCACTTCCTTGTCTTTGAATATATATAATAGCGCTTACCTTGCACCTTTGCTGGACTGGGTTAGGAATGCTATGTGAGAAGCACCTGGGCAGGGCCTGGTCCATAAAAGACAATAAATAGGATAGCCTTGTCCTTTACTACTGAGAACACAGTAATAAACCGTGATGACATAAAACCATAGAGGCTACTGTTCAAGAGCTTCTTGAAGCCAGGGCTATTTCTTCTGCCAACAAACCTTGGTACGCTTTGCTATCTTTGAGTAATAACTGACCATGAGAGGGCCCTTCAACCTTCTGGCCTCCATTTCCTCATCTGGAAAGTAAAGGAGCCTTGTCTGAGTCGGAACATCCATGGTTCCCTAATCGTCATTACATATACGTGTGCGCGCGCGCGTGTGTGTATTATATACATCAGAGAGGAGCTGTAAAATTTTTCTTACTCCCAGCAATTGTCAGGCTGGGAGTAAATTTGTCAGGCTCCTTCCCCGTCAACGCCTCCTCCCTCAAGACACTCACTCGTCTGATTTCCTTCATCACAGATAAATGTTGCCTGTTGTAGCCCTTTGAATAAAGGCCCACATACAAAATGTTTGATTTTGTGTCCGGCTCCTCTCACTCGGCATAATGTGTTTGAAGTTCTTGTCGTTGAATACACCAATCACTGGGGCTTTTTAAGATCTAGTAGTATCTTGTGAACATACCAGTCTGTTTACCTTCTGCTATTGGTGGTAATTTGGGTTGTATCCGGTGTGGGACTGTGAAGAATAAAATGGCCATGAACATTTTTGGACAAGTCCTTCCATGGGCATGTGTTTTCTTGTCTCTTGGGTGAATACCCAGAAGTAGAATTTCTGGGTCATGGAGTAGATTTGGTTTCACTTTGTGGGAAACTGCCAGATCTGTTACAAGTGTTACAGTGATCCTACTATTTGATATACCCACCAGCAACTTTTTGCTCCATACTCTCAGCATTTGCTAGTTTGAGTCCTTGTCATTGCAAGCCCCAAATGGCTCCATTTTATTTTTTTTATTTTTTTTTTCAACGTTTATTTATTTTTGGGACAGAGAGAGACAAAGCATGAACGGGGGAGGGGCAGAGAGAGAGGCAGACACAGAATCGGAAACAGGCTCCAGGCTCTGAGCCATCAGCCCAGAGCCCGACGCGGGGCTCGAACTCACGGACCGCGAGATCGTGACCTGGCTGAAGTCGGACGCTTAACCGACTGCGCCACCCAGGCGCCCCTAAATGGCTCCATTTTAAACCTTACAGCAAAGAGTTAATTTTAAATAAGCAAGCAAATGAACCAAAAATCATTCTTATACCAAAGGTAAACATAGAGGGTGAATCAAATTTGGTGTGAATTAATAAAAAAAGATGAGATTGTGTCCAATTTAATATCTATTTAAATAAATTAATGTCAGACAGGCTACTAGTTGTAATCCAGATGCTACTGTATTTATTACGTACAGATTCAGACTCATGTCTCCGTGATTTCATTTATGCTCCTCCCTCTGCTCCCTCTGAAAGGCCCTGGTTCTTGTCAGGGTGATTCATCCTTAACCTTCAAAGGAAGCCTCCCTCCCAGAAGCAGCCTTCCCTCAGGCAATGTCAATCCACAGGGTTGGAACGTACCCAAAGACTACTTGGATTACAGAGCTCATGACATTACCACTGTGTGCCTGTCTCCCACCCCTGACTATGAGTTCCTTGAAAAAAGAAGGATTTGTTTTTTATTTATCTTGGTCTCAAGTAGGCATTATAGGTATTAAATCGGTGAAGTTTCTCGAGTCCGTGAATATATTCGTCACAACGCTGAATCACACCCTAGGAAGGAATATTCCTGGGAGTGTTGATTGGGAGAGATAGAGAGGGAGTAATAGTTGAAAGCATCTGAAGCCAGATTTCAGGTAATTTTGTCGTTCGAGGGGGGACTACCCGGGGAGATGACAGTCCTTATCAATAGATAACAGAGGCCCCAAGAGTCAGAGCTGTTGGTGGTCTGAATCACTCAGAGATTAAAGCAATTTTGAAAACAGAATGGCCACTAAAGACATCTAGTTCAAACCCCTCAAGTTCTCATAGAGAAACTCAATACCAAGTAGCCGATCCTCAGAATTGTTGGAAACAAAAGATTTGCCTTCAGCTGCTCCCCCTTTCTTCTTCCCCAGCTTCATTTTGTGTCTTCCTGGAGTCTTCTCTATCCTACCTCCCCCCACCACCTCCCTAGCCCCTGCCCTGGGCCATATCCTTCATCCCTCCCCTTCCCCTCTCTCTTTCAAAATGTACCTGTTCTGGGCTCTGAGACTGTCTAAGAGGGATAATCCAGTAAAATACTTTAAGCTGAGGTGGTAATCATTCATTCAGCCTAATATGCCTGCCAAGATTGTTATTCTCTTGCATCCTGGCTCAGCCCTACCACAAATGAGCTCTGCTGAGACACTCGCCATCCAAAAAGCATAAGCGTCGTCCCAGACACTAGAAAATGACAGCAGGTTCTGGGCATAAGAATTCAAAGGGAACCTCCTAGTTGCTTGTCAGCCTGTAGCATAGCTGGCTGATGGGTAGGTCATTCTAAAGCAAAACTAGGGAAGAGAAACCAAGACCCCAGAGCAAGCAGATCCTACAAGCCACCAAGTCAGTGCAAAATGGCAAGGCTCTGGGGCACAAGCATCTTGTACCTGCCCCAGCACCCATCCTGAGGGCACCAGGAACAGAGGAGATCTGAAAAGCTACCGAAGCCTAGCTTGGCCCCAAAGCTACTTTGTTAAGTAATAGGCCATGTCTCACTTGTCTGGAGAGAAAAGCCCAACTGGAGAAGTCCAACGGAATCGGCTTATGCTAGGAATCCTGGAGAAGGTACATCTGAGTGGAGCAGAGGCTGCAAAGCATCTAAAGAGTCCTCAGTTCACCCCTGGGGGGCACCACTAAGGCTCAATTACAAATCACACACACAGACAACCAAGGACAGAAGTGCCAGCAGCCACCATGGTTTTTCCACGCAGGCGGAGAAGCGACAGCTGCATCTGTATTTCAAGTCCCTGGGCAGATGGGAGCATCTGCTTTGGGAGCACTCTATAGGTCACACAGATGTGGCTCCAAGGTGAAAAGAGCACCTTACAGGACGCTGACTACAGTTTTATATAGGTGAACCAAGCTGGGAAAAGGAACAGAAAGCAGGCTTGAGCTTGATGGGATGACTCCCTGGAAGATCTGACCAGCCGACCTCAAAGAGCCTCTTGGTTTCCTTTTGACGTGCCAAACGGGCCGAGAGGCACCTGCTGAGAGGAATGAGGCTCCCGATGGAAAATACAGACTTCTGCTTCTGCCTTAGAGTGAGGCAAAACACCTGTTTCTTGTACCTCTTAAAACCCAACATTTAAGCTCTTTTAAAGGCCTTTGGGGGGCGCCTGGGGGGCGCAGTCGGTTAAGCGTCCGACTTCAGCCAGGTCACGAGTCCAAGGTCCAGAGTTCTGAGCCCTGTCCGCGTTCTGGGCTGATTGGCTCAGAGCCTGGAGCCTGTTTCAGAGTCTTGTGTCTCCCTCTCTCTCTCCCCTCCCCTTCCATGCTCATTCTCTCGGTCCCAGGTCAAAATAAACTGAGAAAAAAATTAAAAAAAAAAAAAAAAAACATAAAGGCCTTTGGGCCATCAGCCCTCAGTCTGCAATCATGGGAAGTATCCTCTTTTCCCCCCTACATACACACACACACACACACACACACACACACACACACACTCCCTTTTCTGTCTTGCCCACAGTAGGGTTTCAGTTTTGTGTGGGGTAGGAGATCTCAGGATAAAAGGGTTTCAGTGAAGATTTCAGAAGATCAAGCTCTTCCGATCGTAGCTGGGGACAGGCAAAGGACAGAGATTGGGGACCAAGGCAGGTAGGCGACAGGGAGCAGTCGGAGGATTACTGAGGAGCTGGCCGAAGACCTAAGCTTACGCTCGAGCACAGGGCACAAAACAAGGCAGTGACCCCCACACAGCCCGAAGCACTTCTTCCTTTAGCATTTAGTGTGTTTTATAACTTACCTAATACGTTAGTTTAGTGGCGTATGAATATACTTCATAAAAATAAATGTCTGCACTGGGGCATGTGCTCAAAGATGAGGAGTGACAGGGCAGTCACTAGCAGTGGATGTTGAGCACAGCTGTTGGAGGAGTTGAGTTTCCTTCTCTCCAACTGCTCTGAGTTGACATTTTACACAGGCACAGAATGACCAGCGGCCCCTGAGATGCTCTCGAGGAGATTCCAGTCCCCAGGCCCTGAGCTGGGATAAGTCTTTGTCATGCAGAATGAACTAACACTGTCCTGAGCAAGGCCTTCGCTCTTTTTGAGGGCACTATACACAGAGATTCTCATGTACTCTAAAAGGCTGTCACAAAAAGTACCACCAAACAGGAAATAAAGATCACATAAGATAAAACGAAATCGTGAGACAGTATAAACAGCCACAGAAGAAATCACTTAACTGTAATAAAAACAGAAGTCGTATGGGAGCAATTCAACCACAGGCTGAATGAGTGAAATGAGCGAGATCAGGAATGAGTGAAAAGCTAGGTGTTTCTTTTGTAATAAGTGGGGCTACAGTCACTGGGGCCTCTTTTAAGAAAGCTTTTTTTCCGGGGCGCCTGGGTGGCTCAGTCGATTAAGCATCCGACTTCAGCTCAGGGCAATATCTCACGGTTCGTGAGTTCAAGGCCCGTATCGGGCTCCTTGCTGACAGCTCAGTCTGGAGCCTGCTTCAGATTCTGCGTCTCCCTCTCTCTCTGCCCGTCCCCCGCTCACACACACACTCTCTCTCTCTCTCTCTCTCTCTCTCTCTCTCAAAAATAAAAATAAACACTAAAAAGTTAAAAACAAAAAAGAAAAAGAAAACGTTATTTTCAATGGGCTGAGGCTTACACAAAACTATGGGATTTCTATGAGGCAATATCTATCTTTTCGTGAACATTTAACTCCAGTGGCTGAAAGTTGCAACAGTTTCTATTTGCATAAAGCAGTGTATTATGATCTGTAAATCCATTAAACAGTAACTCAAGACCTCCTCTTACCTTTGTAGGAAAGACGCTGAAGGTACTCTGTGATTTGAGAGGGAGTAAATGAGTTTAAAATCACTAAGAAATCCAGGTAGGTTTTCCCATAATCGCTTTGGTACGTAGTCTGCTTCTTTGTGTGTTCTTGATTCCTCATGTGGCTGTACAGCACGGAAGGGACTAGAGGGACATACGGGAGGGAAAGACACGGAGGCTGTCACTGAGGAAACAATTCCTGCCCTTATTTGTCTAGCAAGCCCCCAACAGCCCTGAACCCAACTCGGAGCTTAATCATCACCCTTAAGGTGCTGGAAAGGGAGGCGCTGTACATGAGTGACTCCTCCCGGGACTCGGGCTGAGCAGAGCTGCTCCGACTCAGGACCATTGCTGTTGGCAGTGGTGGTGACTGGGGCTGATGGCCGGAGACTCAAGTTTGACCTCTGTTTTCAGAAAAATGTTCCCTGAAATCGACTCTTCTGCTGCTCAGCGTGTTGGGATGGTAGCATTCACTACCTCCTTAGTAAACTACTGCCTTCACAGAAGCTTCTTTCCCTTTTGTGCCATCCCCTGTGCAGACATGGGCTGACACACTAAGAGGAGTCCCTCAGGGCCCCAGGTGTGTTCAGGTGAGCGGTGATGACATCTCCAGCTGGCACTCATTACACGTTCAGACTAATAAAGGCATCAGGTGCAAGCAAAACCAAAATCACTTACGTTTGATTCTGAATATTGCTCATTTAATGTGGGTTCCGATGGTCATGGAATTATCACAGAAAAAAAAAAAGCAATGAAAACATGAGGTGAGAACCTAACTTCTACAGCATGCCCAATCTTTGAACCTTAAGGACACCTTAAATACTGCTTTCAGTCCCAGCTTGTCCCTTTATAGGGACCACTGGCCAGGGGAAGGAAGCAGGGGGAGGAAGAGGGCACTGTCCTGCTACATCCTCAGAAGAGCATTTGGAGGGTCTGGAGATGCTTTCGGTAGAGAGCGTGGAAGGTATAAAGGAAGGTTTTCATAGAATAACTCACACTAGTTAACCTCTGTAGGAAGACGAAGAACCAAAGCCAAAGTGTAGCGAGGAAGGTTCCAGCCGTTGAGAACTTTCCAACAGTTGGAGTAAGAATGAAAGAGTTGCCTTGGGGGTGGGGGGTATCCTCCAAAGAGTGACAACATCAGCCCTTGGCAAGGATGGGGTAGAGGGGATTCCCACAGGGTGTGAGATCCAGATGAGGTAACTGCTATGCTGTCTTCTAATCCCAAGAGGCTAAGCTTCTGTCCTGTGATTTTTGTCTAGAGTACTACTCGGTCCCAACTCCACACCAGGAATAGATCACCATCTCAGACTGACACCAAATTATCTTCTTAACCAGTAGCTTGGAGGTGGCTTGATCATGGAACTTTTAAGAGCTTTTCTGTTGAAAACAGTAGGAATCAGGATCGTAGAAGAATACGTGAATGGAATGGTTGCTGAATCTGAAGAGACTTGATGGACATACCATACGGTCAAGCGTCCAGCGGATGGTTGACAAATCTAATTTCAGTCCCACTCAGTCTCTTTTTTTAGTCATTTTATAGTAACTAAATTCTTCCTTTTGTTTTATAAGGAGGAAGTGTCCCTCAATCCCCACCGCTGCCCCCAGGCAGAGCGTGCACTCATTTCACAGCCAAAGGAATCAGTTCTTTCCCAGCACTTACTCATTCCCTGGATATGAAGCGAGGCCTAGTTTTGATCCCTTGGAGGCTTACAGGGATCACTGGCATTCTTTGTGACTGTCACCAAGATTACCTGCCAGGGCCCAATGTGCTGAAGAATCTTGGAACAAGGACAGAATCTATAAAGTTGCTTTAAAAGCTATAGGTGGGGGCGCCTGGGTGGCGCAGTCGGTTAAGCGTCCGACTTCAGCCAGGTCACGATCTCGCGGTCCGTGAGTTCGAGCCCCGCGTCAGGCTCTGGGCTGATGGCTCAGAGCCTGGAGCCTGTTTTTGATTCTGTGTCTCCCTCTCTCTCTGCCCCTCCCCCATTCATGCTCTGTCTCTCTCTGTCCCAAAAAATAAATAAACGTTGAAAAAAAATTTTAAAAATAAATAAATAAATAAATAAATAAAATAAAAGCTATAGGTGTACTTACCTAGACCCTGAGAAGCAACTGGGAGGCTTGAGTAGCATCCATATCTGAGGCTAAAGTCCTGAAGCTCAGGAATTTTAGCTGGAACTTGGTACTTCCATCGACACTCAGTGTCCGCAGGTCCAGGAAGTAACTTTTTCAATCCCAGCGACATCTGAGAACTTTCCTGAATCTCCTGAGCTGGAATGGAGGCACAGACACAAGGCAGTAACCCCTTGTAAGCTACTTAAAATAGCATCATATTTTCATTCCATTTTTACTTCCGACAGTAGCTTCCAATTTTATCACACTAAACCCACTCTTCTCGTATTTAGAGGTACAATCAATGTCGTTTTTATGGATATTTCAACCAAGAAATAATTTTCTGCTTTCTCAGGCATGGGAAGTATATGCTCCAATGATTAGAAGTGGGTTTTAATGAATATATTGCATGTCAGTTTGGAACGCTCTTCCGTTCTGCTCAATGGACACAGACGGCATCCCTCATTCCAGTAGGGATGCCTCGTCCCTGGGGCAGGGTGGGGAGTGGAGAGAGAGATCCCAGGTAAGGCTATGATTGACATGTAAGACATAAGACGCCCGTTAACTTTGAGTTTCAGATAAATAACGAAGAATTTTTGTAAAATACTCGCTTATTTACTCAATACTGTTATTCTAACGTAACAGGGCATCCTGTATTTTCATTTGTTAAATCTGGCAACCCTAGAAGTGCATACTGTCCCCATCACCTGGAAAAGAACCACCTGAAGCTCATCCCTTTCTGATGGAGGGTTAGGTAACATCGTTGTCACTGGCGGACAACGGCGCCATTATTTCGTTGTAATAACTCTGCTAACGAATATTCCTCAAATACCGATGATATGATGATAAATAAATACCTACGAGGCACTGACTAAACGCCAGCTTCCCCAAGCGCTACCAGATCACAGAGGAGGCACAAGCTACCTCACTTAGAGGGAGTTCATCCCTAATTCTGGCTACCAAGGTGGTTCAGAGGCACGTCACACACCACCAATTTTATTCAGGACAAGAATGTTAACATGGCCATCTTGAGCAATATCCGAATGGTGCCACGATCTATGGAAACTAAACTCGAGTCTTGTCCTGAATTCATTTTTCCGTAGTTTTTATGGATATTTAATTCAAAGGTACATCCAACAATACGTGATGGCATCTACTGGCATCCAAGAGCATTTTAATGATCTGTTTAGAAATGATTTACGTCTAGACCAGCACAGTGAGAGGAAGCTTCACTACGTGCTGCCTCTTCATTTAGATGAGTCAGGAAGAGAGGATGTGGGTACTCAATGGCCCTCATAATGACCTCATAACCTGTCCAAGGAGAAGACAAAGTTATAGAGAAGATGCAACTCTAGGGCTTAAAAACAGGATATCCCTGAAGATATTTTGGGAAACCATCTGGTATGGTTCCTAGTAAGCACCATCTATACCTTGGTTTTTGTATATCACTAGTAGCTTTATAGGAGGAAAATAAATTCTTGGGGAAGTCCTTGAAGTGCTCCGTGCCAAAGCTAAAAATAACTTAGTCATCGTTCTACCTTGCACGACCTCAAACTAGCGTGATTAGAAAGATGTACACACGACAAACAGATACGGAATGTGACATCTTGTAACCGTAACACTTGGAACCGTGGTTCTCACATGGAGATAATACATCACACTTACCTAGGAAGTTTCTTCCAAAACACAGTTGCTGAACCTCATCCCAGACATTGAGAATCTCTAGAAGTGGGGCCCCAGGCACTTACATTGTAAACAAGCTTCCCCTAGGCTTAAGAATCACTGACTCAGAGCCTTCAACGGGTGCTATAGAAGCCCAGAGAGGGTATAATGAGCTCTGTTAGGGGAAGGGAAGGAAGACAAGAGTTAAATGGCAGACACAGCGAAGGATGTGCTTCGGTGATGGGTCAACAGCGCAGCAAAAGTTGTGCACTGTGTTCGTTAAGTATGATCTCGCTGGCAAGAGTGTGAGGTATGCAGGGCAAGGAGTAGCTGAGGGTGAATCAGGAGAGGTAAGTTAGAAACCAGGTTGTGAAGGGTTTTGAGGGGCTGGTCCGTGTAGACCAGGATCAAGCAGCGTAGTGGAGCAATTGGACGTCAAGACCCAGAAAAGACAAAGTTAGAGCCTAGACTTACTCTGCGTTCCTTTGAAGATAAAGATTAAGTCTTACTCCTCATTGATCCTTAGCCATTATCACAGTAATCGACCTCGTTCTCAACGCACGCTTTTATTGTCTTTACAAAATTTCACGTTAATGAGTTCCTTCAGTATCATCAAGAAGAGAAGTTCTTGATCCCAAGGGACCCAACTTATGCCTGAAGTCCCCATAGTGGAACTGAAGTTTGCCCTGACGGGATAACCATGACTCAGAGCTAACGTGACCCAATGGTAACCACACCTCCAAGCCCTGGACTCCTCGCGGGGAGCCATCCCTGCTCCTCAGGAGCTCAGCTCCCACTCTTTCTGTTTCACTTGAGAACGGTTGACACCGCACTAGTGTACCTATAGCCCAAGGAGAGAAACTGGCCCATTTAAGATTAGCATGGCACTTGCACAAAGGCCGCAGTCCAACGTGCATCTACAGCAAGGGCTGTTCAAAACCACTGGGACCATGCGCATCATCTACAGCCAAGCAAGAACCAGTTCTGCTGTCTCTGTCTGCTGTTCTAATTCATCGAAGCCAAGTTCCCCAGGCCTCAATGTGAAAACAAGCACCTTTTCGTGCTTCTCACTCATTGGCCTTAATACAATGATGAAGATACAAAGATAAGACATGGCCCCTGCGCTTTAGAAGCTTCAAATACTAGAGAAACAGAACAAAAAAGAGAGAATGACAATATTGGGTGCTAAATAATGTGGAAAAGATAAGAATAAGATCTATAAAAACATATGGGAGGGCCAGCAATCCAAACGCAGGGGATCAGAGAAGACTCCCAGGAGAGACACGAAGCCTGTCTTTGGACTTCATTTATGGACAGACATAGGCTGCAAGAAGGGAGCGGCCGGTGGCCCACGGGAGGGGGGCAGTGTGTGCGCAAGGCACAAGGCCGCCGGGGGCGCCATGGGTCTGGAGGAAGGAAGGCAGACGGTCTCGGGGAGAGTGTGGGGGCTGGTGAGGGAGCATGCTGGCGTGGCAGGCAGGGACCAGATTGTACAGCCTCGCATTTAAGGCATTTAGCTTAGTGTCCCCTGAGGACACTGGGGAGTCACTGAAAGGTTTTCAGCTGGAAGGTGACATCAATTCGCACATCTGGAAACTATGGTGATGGTCCTGGCAATGGCTCGGAAGCGACAAACCTGGAAAAGAGAGCTGGATTAGAGGTCATCCAAGGGGGAGACACGGGCGGCCGTGGCTTTGGGGAGGAAGAGGAACAGACGGAGCTAAGAGATTTAGGAGAGACTCTTGGCAGGTCTTGGGTATTTATCTACACAGAGGGAGATGGTAATTTGTACATGAAGAAAGGCCTTTGCTTAGAAGCTCGAAGACATCTTTTAAGAAGGCTGACATTTCAAATCTTTTCCCATCACCCTTAATATTTACCTGAAGTAGGGAGGTCTTTTGATTCTATACTCATCTAATTTCAAAAAGTGTACTTCCCGTATATTTTTTCCATCATTCCACAAATATTTACAGAGCACCTCCCATACCCAGACTAGACTATGCTGACCGTGCCAGATTCTGAGTGAATAAAGGCCTTTGGGGCACCTGCCAAATAGTGGGAGAAAGAATAAAGCAAAAACAACAAAAAACAAGAATCAGTAAACAAATGACTGCAAAATGCCGGGTGCTAGAAGGCAACAAATGATATGGTGGCACACTTCTTCAGCTAAAACAGTAAGGAAAGGTCTCACAGGCAAGGGGACATTCTGGAGTCTACAGAATGACACAGTAAAATCACAGAAAGAGCTGGGAGAAGAACAATGCAGGCAAAGGGGACAGCCTGTGCACTGGTTGAAGGCTGGGGGTGGGGGGAAACGGTATCCTATAGGAATTTTAAAAAGGCCCATGTGGCTGGAGCCTGATGAACGAGGGGATGGAGGGAGGAGGAACAGTGAGGAGGTAAGCAAGGGCTATGGCAGTCTTGCAGCACCTTGTGAACAAAGAGAAGGAACTGAAACTTGGATTTCATTCCAAGTGCAATGCAGGGAGCCTGGGTGGCTCAGTGGGTTAAGCATCTGACTTCAGCGCAGGTCATGATCTCACGGTTCATGAGTTCAAGTCCCTACCACCCTGAACGCACCCGATCTCGTCTGATCTCGGAAGCTAAGCAGGGTCGGGCCTGGTTAGTACTTGGATGGGAGTTCAAGTCCCACATTAAGTGAACTCATGCCCCACTTCTCGTGAGCTCCAGCCCTGCTTCGGGTGAACACGAGCCCCACTTTGGGTGAACACAAGCCCCACTTCCCGTGAACATGAGCCCCACTTCAGGTGAGTCCTGTTTCTCTCTTTCTCTCTCTCCCTGTCTCTCTCTCTCTCTCTCTCTGCCTCTCACTCACTTGTGCCCTCTCTCTCTCTCAAAAACAAAATCAAAACAAAATACAATGCAAAGCCAGTGAAATAAAGCAGTGGAATAATATCCAATTTAGAATCATAAAAATTATCATATATCATACTTGACTCCTCCCTCCCCAAACTTCACCAGAATGATAGCAGATTAGAGGTTACCATATTTTTAGAAGCTGGAGACCAAATACAGATGTGGCAACTGAACTAGCAAAGTAGAGGAAGCTAAAACTAAGTGATTGCCGAAAGGAATAAGAAATCAGTGAGCTAATCCACATTGTAGACCCCCAATAGGCTTCTGTAACAGGAACAGGGTAAGGCAAGTACTGAGGCTCAGGCTGAAAACAAGCAGCTTGGGGGAAAGCTTGTATACAGCATGGTTGAGTTCCTGCACAATCTTCTTAACCTCATGCAGTCATTTGGTGATCCTTTCCTAACCAGAAATTTATTAGGTGTAAAACTGAATGAGAGAAGCTCAGGAGATTCCAGGACACGAGGCACAGTAGAAGGTGGGGTAGTGAGATGAACAGGAAAAAGAAAGGTTCAGTAAGTGTTGCAAGGGAAGCAGGAAGATCCCAGTTTCCTCCCCAATCCTGCTCTCAGCAGGCCAACAGCCAAGGGTTTCTCTCTTTGGAGAAACTGACCTATAAATATGGGTATTTGGGGGTTTCCCAACAGAAAGAGAGCTTATCACCTAACCACCTAAATCAAGTACCAGCTAATAAGCCCCATCTCTGTATGTAGTTTGCAATCAGATTTGTGTGTCTCCCTTGTAGGTTTTGCGAACCTTAGAAATTAATGTTTTGCCTACACTCACTTAAAAAGAGAGTCCAAAGAATTAAAAGAAGTTTTATTAGCATCATAGTAAATCTGCCTCTGCCCTCTTGTAAGTATGAACAGAAAACCATATTTTCATTAGACCATTAAAACACTCAGAAAATAGAGACAATGCAAGGAATAGATGAAAATGTTGAAAATTAAGTGTATCATAAACATCCTAAAATTTATAAGAGAGTTACTACATATATAAAACAAGAACAGAATGCTGTTTTAAAAAATAATCATAATAATCAGACCATAACAGACCATAATAATCAGAGGTCTATATATTACAGTAAATAAAACTTATTAATTTTACTATTCAAATAAAAAATCAGAGAGAGGAAGAAAGCTAGTGAATTAAAAATCCAATAGAAGAGGGGCGCCTGGGTGGCTCAGTCGGTTAAGGGGCTGATTTCGGCTCAGGTCATGATCTCGCGGTCCGTGAGTTTGAGCCCCGCGTCGGGCTCTGTGCTGACAGCTCAGAGCCTGGAGCCTGTTTCAGATTCTGTGTCTCCCTCTCTCTGACCCTCCCCCCGTTCATGCTCTGTCTCTCTCTGTCTCAAAAATAAATAAACGTTAAAAAAATAAATAAATAAATAAATCCAATAGAAGAGCTAGATTAAAAACTAAAGAAATTTTCAAGTTAGCAAAACAAAAATACAAAGAGAAAGATACTAGGAAAGAAAAGATGAGAAAATTGGAGGATCAGTCCAACAAATAGGAGTCCCAGAAGAGAACAGAGAAAAGAGATGGGAGAAATGTGGGAAGGGACATTCAGGAAACAATGTCCAGAATTGAAGGACATGACTCTAGCTTCTAGGGCCCCTAATTTCCAATATAATCAATGACAAAAGATTCTCACTAACGCATACAGTTGTGAAATTCAGGGGCGCCTGGGTGGCGCAGTTGGTTAAGCGTCCGACTTCAGCCAGGTCACGATCTCGCGGTCCGTGAGTTCGAGCCCTGCGTCAGGCTCTGGGCTGATGGCTCAGAGCCTGGAGCCTGTTTCTGATTCTGTGTCTCCCTCTCTCTCTGCCCCTCCCCCGTTCATGCTCTGTCTCTCTCTGTCCCAAAAATAAATAAAAAAACGTTGAAAAAAAAAATTTAAAAGAAATTCAGAATGTCAGGAATAAAGAAAAGATCTTAAGAGCTGCCAGGAAAAAAAATATATATGAGAGGGTCAGGAATCAAAATGGCATCAGTCTTGTACAAAGAAATCCTGGATGCTAGAAGATATTTGGAGGAATGCTTTCTGAGGGAAAATGATTATCAACCTAAAATTTTATATCCAGCCAAACTATCAGACAAGTGTAAGGAATTAAAAAGGACATTTCCAAATAGGGCAGAACGCACTCAAAAAACTTCCTCCCGTGCACTCTTTCTTAGGAACCTACTGAAAGATGTGCTTCAGCAAAACTAGGGAGAAGGGATAAGAAAGAGGAAGAGGAAACAAGATTCAATGCAGGCAGAGGCCAAAGTCATTCCTAGAATGATGAGAAAGGAAGTCGCAGTGCAAGGTGGGGCAGCAAAGCTACAGAACAGCCAGTCTGGATTAGAAGAGAATGATGAAGGGTGTCAAGCAGAACATCTCTGGGAAAAACAGAAGTGATAGAGTGTTTGAAACTGTGTTTGGAAAAAAGTCTTGATAAGTATGTGATAAAGAATTTGGCAAAAATTAGTGACAGGCCCATAGAAAACTAAGCATATGAATAAAAAGTCAATTATTAACTCTGGTAAAAAAAAAAAAAAAAGGAAAGGAAAATGAATGTTTACATAATCATAATATATCATATCAGTATCACAATATAAACATTAGCAATTGAATCAAACAAGAATTTGTAATATAATTATAGAGAGAATGGATGGAAGGGGAGTGAGAAAGAGTTACAGGAGAGACAAATCCTCAACCACTATAACAGGAAGTCAATAACAATGTCTAAAATTGATGAACCAAAGATAAAGGTATATGCATATTATTTTAAAATATGGAGTATCACATAAGAACCACTGAAAGGATTGAATTGATCACCAATGGGGAGTAGGGTCAAAGAACTGCTATTACTTTGTAATAAGCCATTAGGTCACTATTTGATTTAGATGTATGCATGCATTAGTTTAATAAAAGTTTTAATTTTTCAAAATAGCATTAATTGGAAATGGCATGTTGAACTTGACCTCTTCATCTTTGCAGGGCTGTTTCATCCTCGTTTTTCAGGCCCAGAAAGCCTTTCCTGGCTTCCCCTTCCCAACTTCAGGCTAGATGTCCCACTGTGTGCACCCACGGCACCCAGAATTTCCTGTATGATACACCTTTTCATATGTGACCTTTTGTTTGCTAAATTGCCTCTTTCTGTGTCTGTATTGTGAGTTCCTTAAGGAAAGAGACTGCATCTATGCTGTTCCCCACTGCAACTCCAGGGCACAACATATGACCAGAGAGAAAATGAACATGTTTACCTTTTGCTGTGCCCACAAAGTCTCTTCTAGTACTAGAAATAAACTGATTTGCTATTGCCTTCCTTACCTCTTCCTTTGTAGCAGCGATTTTCCAAGGGAGGTGGCTCTTTATTGATGCTGTTGATTGGCCCTGAGGCAACGTCCAGAGAAAGAAATCCTATTAATACAAACACAATTTTCAAGAAAATTGATATAGGTTCACCTAATGGAATGAAGATTATGTGTGTTTGTGGGTATATATTCTTCTGGGTCCTCTACACCCACTTACCACACTGCAGTGTGTGCAGAGTCCAAAGAGTGTGCCTCCAACCAGAAATCTCCAGCTGAGACCAGAGAAGAAGACCCACGTGAGTTCTTGACCTGGCTTTAAATGCCCAAGGAGCAGACAGTCTCAGGCTTCAAGAGACACCCTGCCTCCCATGCAGAGTTCTCAGAAGCAGCCTGTAAGAGGGGGAGGGCAGGCGCTCTCTCCTCTTTGCCCCCAAAGAGATTTTACGATTATGAAACTTGAAGCCTCCAGCACCATTTTCCATCTACCCACTCTCATGGCCTTGCTTCCTATTTCCTTGAGAAAACTGAAGCCATCTGATGAGAACCTCCAAACACCGCCCGGCACGTCACCACATCTGCACTCATTACGCTGTGATGGGAGACCACTGTGTTTAGCCTACTCTGGCACGTGACCCCCCTCCCCCCCGCCAATTCTCACTTGTCTCTTGCAACTTCCATTTCTCCCTCTCTTTGGGGACATGGCTGTCCAAGCTTGCCTTCACTTCTCTTATCTTAAAAACGCCCCCTTCACTCTACTTCCCCTCTAGTTGCTTAGATATTTCCCAATTTCCCTTCGCAGGAAACCCCCCAAAATAGTTACATACATTGACCGTCCCCAAATTTGTCTTTTACGTGTTTTTAATCTTCAGGGTCCTTCTCCATCCTCTTCTTTCCCTTATAATCTATTGAAGAAACCAAGCCATTTGATGTGGAGAGGTTCCCATGCTCTGGATTTTGTTGAATGCATACTCATTGTGTAGTTTAACAAGTTCCTCTGTTCCCTGTATTTCCTACAACTGGCAGAGACTGACTTACTCTCAGGATAGATCCCTCTGACGAGACTGCAAGTGGTATGTGACAAGGAGGATTACAACATATAGTTGTTTCTCTTTGTGTGAGGTTACCAGCTGTTGATGCTCAATGCCTAGATTAATGGATGAAAGGGGGTGATAGTCTATCAGTTCTTTTTCATGTGTAAGCTAGAATATGTTTATAACGAGACATTTTCCCTCATCTATCATTTAGTTTACCAGGGGCATAGTTCATATAGGGAAGGCACGGGGGTGGGGGGTGGGGGGGGAGCTTGATCGTTTTCCTTCCATCAGTTTCTAAGATAATGAATTGGTTTCTTATCGTCCTCTGAAAGTGGCCCCATTTTTTTTTTAACAGAACTCACAGATTTAAGCATATTTGATGTGTCTCAATCTATTGCATATGTTATCCTTATTGAAGCTCAAATTACCTTTGAGCCTGTGGGCACCTCTTTAATTTTGATATAGCTCTAGTCTTTTTTTCTTTCTATGTAGTTCCAGACTCATCTTGCACATTTCCCACCCCAGATCTGGACTCGGCCAGTTCTCCCAGAAGCCCTCTGTCTCACACTGATCAAGCATTCTTCTAACCACAACTACTCCTGTCAAGGCAACCCATGAACTCCATTCCATGCATGCCAACGGCCAAGTCTATCCTCGACTTCCTTGACCCTGACAGTGATCAGTCCTTTTTCCTTCATTTTCTTCACTTGGTTTTCAGCACAACACGCTCTGTTGGGCTTTCTCCTTCACAACTGACTGCCCCTTCTCAGTCCATTTTGCTGCTTCTTCCACTGACCGCTTGTTAGCGAAATGCCCCAAGACTCAGTCCTTGAACCTCTTCTCTTTTCTAGCTTGATCATCTCATCCAGTCTCATTTGTTTCAAATACATAGGATGACTCCCATTTATCTTTGGCTTAGACCCTCTCCCTCAACACAGATCCCTACGGTCCAACGTCCTTCTTCTGCCGATCTCCAGTTGGAAGCTTGCTAGGACACTTCTAATTTCACATTCCCACAACCGAACCCCTGAGCGTCCCCCTGAGTCTTGAATATTCTACCTTTCAGTTAATGGCCACTCTGTCCTTGCCACTGTTTCAATCTAAATCCCTGGAGTCATTCTTGGCGCATCTCTTTGCTTCACACCCCACATTCTTTGCATCAGGAAACCTTATTTACCTATGAAATATATTTAGAAGCAGACCAGTTCTTCCAATCACACATAACACCCTAGTCTGAGCCATCATCGTTTATCTCCTGGATTATTGCAGTAGCCTCTTAGCCAGTATCTCGGCTTCCACCTTTACTCTCTTATAGTCTACTCTTGGCCAGGGCGACCCGTTAAAGCATAATCATGTGACCCCCTCTTCTCAAAACTCAGCAGTGGCTCCTCCTTATTTCAGAGTAATAGTTATACTCTGCAATGGCCTATAGGACTCTACACAATTTACAACCCCCCCCCCACACACACACACATCTACCCCTCACCCCCTTCCAACGCACCTCCCCTTTGTTTTCTGTCCTCACTTCCTTCTTCTCTCCATCTGCCTGGATTGCCTTGCAATTCCTGAAACATCAGCCACGCTCCTGCCTCAAGGCTTTGCCTTTGAAAGGGTGAGAGGTTCTCACCCGAGATTCCAGCATGACTTTTTCTCTCACCTCCCTCAAATCTCAATTTTCATGTCACCATCTAAATGACACCTCCCTAAATTACCCCCACGTAAAATTGCAAACCCTTCCCCCACCACTCCAGTGGTGGATCTGCCTTACCCTGATCAATTTTTTTCCCCATAGAATTATCACTTTCTAAACTTTTATGGTGCATTACAGTTTGCCTGAGTTTTATATTTATCATCAGCTGTCCGTCTCCCCCTACTAAAGTTCAAGCTCCATGAAGACAGGGGTTTTTTCTCATTTTCTTCACTGCTACATCCCAGATCTGGAAGAGTGCCTGACATATGAGGCACTCCAGAAATATTCGTTGCTTAAATGAATGAATAAAAGGTGGCACATATAACCATCCACTGCCTGAGGTCTTTGCCCTGCCAGTCATTGCTAAACCCAGGTAAACTGGTTTTTTCCAATATCCTGAATGGGAACTCCAGTCACCCTTGACCTCCGGTGGGACACTCCATAGATAGCAGAGATAATTTACACGGTGATGGATCTCTCTTGTATCTCTTTCCCAGGCATTTATGATACCACCTCCTTCAGGCTTTCCTCTGGGGCTGCTCCTTGGTCTCCATTTATGGCTTCTTTCTTTGACCTGCACCTCAAACCTGGGGATTCCCCAGGGCTTCATCAGCCAGACGTATCTTTATGCTCCACACGTTCATCCTCGTAATACTAGTCACTCTGAGGCATCACTATACACATGCAAGCCTTGCCCGCAAAAGGGGCCAGCGACAGAAACGGCTGCAGGGTCCTGTGATCACTAGTCAAGCCCTGACCCACCTCCAGCCCGTGTTCTGCCTGACTGCCCACACCCGGATGCATCACAATTGCTGCCAATATATCATCAGGCCCTTGTTTCCCACCACGGTTTCCTTGAAGGAGCTCCAACCCACCAGTCTGTATTTTAACTCCCAGGGTAATTGCTTTTGCGGCAGATCCTCTCTGTTGGCAGAGAGGGAGCACCTTGCCAGTCTCATCCTAGTTCAGGTCCTGAGCCACAGTCGCAACTGTTCAACAGAAACAAATAAATGGCAGATAGAGAGGCCTCGGCAGAGTAAATAACGCAGCACACCCTCATTCAGGTCGATTGGAAGAGCCTTGATGGCTGGAGGGGCTACGCCCGGTGTGAAACCTCATTGGTTGAAAGCGTACAGGGCAGTCGCCCCCACTACTGCTCATTGGCTCCGAGGGCCCAGGACCACCTACCGCTCTAGCTCTCATTGGCTGGGAGCCTTCAATAACACCTAAAGAAAACAAATGCTTTGTGTGTGTATATATGTATACATACACAGTATAATATTGTAACTGACTGCTTTACATTAATTTTAAAATCTTAAGGCAAATATTTAAGAGGTAAATTCATTATAATGAATGGGTTCCAGGAGGAAATGGGGTGTTAAATGGGATATGCGTGTATGTCCTGATGACTCCCAAGTCTACATCTATAGCTCACCTCTTCCACACAAACTCCAGACCGAGATATTCAACTGCCTGTTGGACATATTTTCAACCAACGTGTCTTCAACTGAGTTCACATTTCCCCTATGCCCTTTCCCACCCATCCTGGTCCTCACCCATGCCTGCTCAGTAAACAGCAGGAGTGTCCACTCAGCCATGCAACTCAAAACCAGAAACATCATCCTTCGTTCTTTCCCCTTCCTTGCCATTTATATTCTTTCAGTCATCAAATCCTACCCTTTCCACCACCTTATTACCTAATGAATACATCCCGGTGAGTACCATTCCGGGGGGGCATCCAAATAAATGAAACTCTTTGCTACAACTGAGCATTGCCTTTTACGGTGGGAAAAGGGTACCCAGTGCCCAGAAGACAGAGGGAGGGTCAGTTACTTCCACCTATAGGAGAAGGGAATTAGAGATAGCTCTCTTTAAGCTGAGCCTTGGTGAATGTATGAATGTCCTTGGTGGACAGGAGAAGGGATTCTAGGTAGAGTAAACAAAATGACAAAAGATCTGGCAGTTTGAGGACGCATAATACGAAACACAAATGTTTGCGAGTGCCAGTTGATAGCACTATTGACAATAGGCAAAAGGTGGAAACAGCCCAATGTCCAGCAATGGCTAAATGAATGAAGAAACTGTGGTATACACATACAATAGAATACTATTCAACCATAAAAGGGAACCATAAAAAGGAATGAAGTACCGATTGATGCTACAATGCGGATGAACCTTGAAAGCATTACACGAAATGAAGAAGCCAGATGTGAAAGGTCACATGTTCTCTGATTCCCAATAAAAAGTATCCAGAATACGTCATCCACAGAGATAGAAAGTAGATTGTTACTTACCAGAGGCTAGGGAAGAGGGAAACAGGAAGTAATTTTATTTGTTTTTAATGTTTATGTATTTTAAGAGAGAGAAAGAGCACAAGCCGGAGAGGGGCAGAGAGAGAGAGAGAGAGAGAGAGAGAGAGAGAGAGAGAGACGGGGGGCAGAGAGAATCCCAAGCAGGCTCCAGACTGCCAGCGCAGAGTCTGATAACAGGGCTTGATCTCACGACCTGTAAGATCATGACCTGACCCAAAATCAAGAACCAGACGCTTAACCGATCTAGCCACCCAGGCGCCTCAGGAATTAATTTCTTAAAGGGTAGGGGGTTTCCTTTTGAGATGATGAAAATGTTTTGGAATAAGATAAAGGTGGTAGTTGCAGGACATTATGAATGTATTAATTGTCAATGAATTGTTCATTTTTAAAAAGTTAATGTTATGCCCTGTGAATTTCGTTTCAATTAAAAAAAAAATTTTTTTTTAATTAAAACAATTTTTTTCAAGGTTTATTCATCTCTGAGAGACAGAAAGAAACAGAGTGCAAGCAGTAGAGAAGCAGAGAGGGAGGAAGACACAGGGTCTGAAGCAGGCTCCAAGCTCTGAGCTGTCAGCACAGAGCCTGACGCGGGGCTCGAACTCCTGAACCGTAAGATCATGACCTGAGCTAAAGTCAGACGCTCAACCAACTAAGCCACCCAGACATCCCTAAATTTTAAAAAAATGTTTTGAAAACTTGGAGAGATAAGGGAGAAGGAGTTATAAATGAGAGGGGGGGGGGGGAATAGTATAAGAAAGACCATAACTGTAGATGAGGATCTTTGGAAATATTCAAACTCTTGTTCTTATGGAGTACTGATACAGCATTAAATTCAACAGATATGTAGATATCATCTTACTTGACTGGGGCGAGGTATTTGGCTCCTGACTCCTCTTGAAGTCCCGGTTTTGATCCAGTCTTCTTTAGAACGTGATTTCCAAACATACTCATCGTTGTATTGTGTCTGGTTGGGAATAGGGTCACTAAGAGAATAGGTATATCCTAGTCTTCTGATACCCTTTCGACTACAAGAAAAGATAGCGAAAATCAGAATAAGGGATTAAATGCCAAATCACACAGCAACGCACAGGTCAAATAATTTTCCTTATTACATTTTTTTTTTTTTTTTAAAGATTGGCTCAAGGAAGACTTGATGCCAGAAAGAATTTAATTTCCAGATTCCCTTGAAAGGAAACAATCCCATATCTTAGGACAGCTCTTCACAAAAGTACTAGAGGCCTAAAATGGAATTTAAAAGAACAATAATCTGAAATTCATTGATTTTTTTAATTAAAAATATTTCTTAAAGAGGTAGGTCCTCTCCTGTATAAAGAGTACTTCAGGGGCGCCTGGGTGGCTCAGTCGGTTGAGCATCCGACTTCGGCTCAGGTCACAATCTCGCGGTCCGTGAGTTCGAGCCCCGTGTCGGGCTCTGGGCTGATGGCTCGGAGCCTGGAGCCTGTTTCCGATTCTGTGTCTCCCTCTCTCTCTGCCCCTCCCCCGTTCATGCTCTGTCTCTCTCTGTCCCAAAAATAAATAAATGTTGAAAAAAAAAAAAATTA